ACAAGGCTGAGGCAGAATGATAGCCTGTGCCCAGGAGGCCAACGCTGCAGTGAAACGTGACCATGCCACTGCATTCCAGCCTGGGCAACAGAGTGAGATTCCAACGAAAAAAAACAAAACAAAAATAAATTCCAGTAGAGCCCATCTGATTGGCCCAGCTGACCTTTTGGAGTCCAGTCACAAATTCTGGGCCACTAGCCACTCTATGAATAGATTGATTGGCCTTATATCAAGTGCAGTCTTGTGAGCCAAACAGCTGTGACTAAGGACATGTCTACCTACTAGGGACTGTAGATAAAGCAGGCTGTGACTCAAGCCCTTAAAAACCTATTTTTAGACATAAGATTTAGGAAGTTAATATTTCATGGGGTGTCTAACATATTAAACATCTGAAAATATGTATTTGATTGTGTCTATGCATTCCTGATTAAAATTGGTAAATGGCTTCTAAATGCACTTAGGGTTAAAATCCAAAAATCTTTAACATGCCTGTAGTGCTGTATCCTCTGGGTTCAGTTTTCCTTTTTGTTTTCATCTGTTGCTACTCTTCCTAATCCCTACTGGCCTGTTTTGTAAAAATCTCTCCAGTTTCAGGGCCTTTGCACATGCTGCTTTTCTTCTTCCTATACACTTTCTTCTTTTTCCTTGGTTAACTCCAAGTCTTCTTCTAGGTCTGATCCTAAATGTCACTTCTTCTTCTTTGATGCTGCTCCTCCAGTGAAATTAGAGATCCTTGTTTATATTCCTCTGTATTTTTTGCATGATATTTTCTCTTCATGGTATAGATCACAACTTTAAATGATGTTGATTTGTGCGTTCACTTGTTTAATGCATGTCTCCTCAACTATACTAAGAGTTCCTTAAGGACTGTGGTCATATCTATTGGGATTATGACCATTTCTGGCTGTCTTATTCGATTTTGTGTTGCTATAAAGGCATTCTTCAGGCTGAATAGTTTATAAAGAAAAAAAGCTTATTTGGCTTACAGCTCTGCAGGCTGTAAGAGAAGCATGATGCCCACATCTGCTTGGCTACTGGTGAGGGTTTCAGGCTGCTTCCACTTACGGAGGAAGACACAGAGGAGCTGGAGTGTGTGGAGATCACATGGTGAGAGAGGAAGCAAGAGAGTGAGAGGGGAGGTGCCAAGTTCTTTTTAATGACCAGCTCTCACAGGAACGAATAGCGTGATAACTCACTCATTCCCTTCCCTCCTCTATTCACAGGAGATCTGCCCCCATGACCCACACACTTCCCATTAGGCTCTACCTCCAATATGAGGGATCAAACTTCAACACGAGGTTTGGAGGGTCAAACATCCAACCTGCAGCAGTGGCACATAAAAGTGCTTGATAATAAGTGCTTGATGAATGAATGAATGAATAAATGCCAACGAGTGAGAAATTTGGCCTGGGGAGTCACTAAAGACTTCTTGAAAAGCATGAGGCTTCATCTTGGCCTTAAAAGATGAGTATAATTTGAAAAGGACAAGGGAAAACATTTTGGGCAGGAATAACATTTGTTAGCAAAGGCAGAAAGTCAGGAATAAGTAAGATAGAGCCTGGTTACAGTGTGGACATGGTCCTGATTAGAACAGAAGTGTGTGCTGACAAGATCTGGAAAACAAGATTGTCTGGGTAAGAAAGGGCCCAAACAGAAAAAATGTCAATCTGAGAACAATATTAAATAATAATAGCTTACATTTGTATGGTGCTTATTATGTTTCAAGTTCTTTTCCAAGTACTTTATGAGTATAAGCTCATTTGATCTTCACAACAAACCTATGGAATAAGTACTATTTTTGTGCCCATTATGCAGGTGGGGAAGCTGAGGCTCCAGGAGATTATCTAGTCCAGTGTTTGTGGTTGATAAATTCAGGGCAGGGATTCAAATCTGGACAGTTGCAGAATCTGTGTACTTGAATGTTAGGCCAAGCTGCATCTCTCCTCTAAAAAGGTAGAGACATAAATTGGCAACAGATCTGTTCCAGGGACTGCACATTAAAGTGACCTGAAAGAGAAACCCAAAGCTTCTGGTCTTGAGATTGGTAGAAGGATCTGCATCTGGGGAAGAAGGAGATGAAGAACTCCGTGATGGAGCAAGAGACTCAAGAGGTGTGACCCAGAATGCCTAGTGAGTGACTGTCGTATAGACTTTGGAGCCAGGCGAATGTGAGATGTGGGTTTGTGCACTAGCTTTGCTGTCTACCCGTAACTTTCAGCATCTATCCAATGGGTTTGCAATAACATCTGCCACAGAAATGAGGATTACATGCGACCAAATAGTGAAGTTTGTGGCACAGTGCTTGACTCACAGGGCAGTGGCCTAGTAACTGCGAATACTCTGCATAGGGATTTGGATGGCAAGGATAGGCCAGAATCCTGGCTGCAGCCCTGAAAGTAGTCACATTAAATATTTACCTGATGCCAGCCATCTAGGTTCAGCTGAGCAGCATCTAAGCAAAGGTACCCTGAGGTTGTCCATGCCAAAACTTTGCAGGGAGCAGACCTAGATGGTGAGGGGATCCTTCGAGGATTCAGGTGCCCATTTTTCCCTTCTAGCTCTCTGGGCTGTGCAGAAGGGCTTTATACTTAGCCTTCAAAGTAGGCATCTAATGAGTTAAGGCCTTGGGGCCTTTCTGTCCATCCCAGATCAACTTTCCAGATACCCTGGTTTTGCAAACGCTCAGTTCCCAGGGTGGCCGAGTGTTGCTTCTTCCTCTTCACAGTGTCCATCACCTATTTGCTCCAGCTCTCAGACCCTTTCCTCTCTGAGGGTGGCTGGAGCTGCTTTTCCTCAAGAGTGGGAGGAGAGGATTTAATAGGGTGCGTGTCCACAGTATCATAGAACGTCAAATCACACAGTGAGAAAGATATTTCCTTTTGGCCTCTCCTTTGGTCCTTCAGATTAAGCCAAGGGACACATCATTTTTTGTGCTAGAATATCTTTTAACACCTCTCTAACACTTTGGAGATTTTTTTTTTTTTTTTTTTTTTACAGAGAGAAGGCAGCTGGCCTTTAGCTTAGGACAAGCAATAGCTAGAATATAGTATGATTGTTTTGTTTTTATTGTATTTATTTTCCCAGATACCATTTGCTTATGACATATAATTCCAGTTTTTATTTTTACAGTAGTGATAAAAAGTTCCCCTTCAAAATACATTTATTGAAGTAAGAGGTGAGTCCATTTAAAGAAAAACATTAGGCAGTTGTTGATGTGATATGTGGATGTGAAGAACTTCCTGAGAGTGGTACTCAGACGACTGAGACTTGGAAAATGCTGGAATCCTGGGGAAGCCACTCAACACAGGAAGCGGAGGCTTGGATATAAATGTCGTTCTGCTCATCAGCACCCAAGACACTCTCTTTGAGCCTCTATTTCCTCGCCTGCCAAAATGGAGATGATGATTCTCACTACATGCGGTTGTTTTGAGGATTAAATGAGATAATTTGATGTACGGGAGTGTCACTTGCATGTGATGACTCAAGTACTGAAAAAAATGAAGTGTCCCGAGTTGCCCTTTACAATGAAATTCACTGGGTAAATGTAGGCAAGGCACTGGTTTCCTAGGACTTCTGCCCCATGGTGGGGATAAAATCCATGCCGGTCGCATAACCTGTCTTCCCTTAGTTTCTTCATTGGTAAAATGGGTCTGTTAGTATCTTCTTCATGGGGTTGCTGGGAGGATGAAGTGATTTCGTATGCGTATGACACCAGAACACAGGCTGGCACCTCACAGCAGTAGGTAAGTGTGAGCACTCAGGACCCTAACCCTGCCTCGTAGGGTGCTACAGCCTTAAGTGGGAAGGCTTCTTGGAAGTGTGAAGTCCTGGGTGTATGCCAGTAATGCTCAAGGAAATCACTTTTGGCAGAGGTGACATACTTATGCTTTCTAATATCAAATATCCAAGTGTTCTTCCACTTTCTCTTTCCAGAACCCTCAGAGCCTGTGAAAAGTATACTCTCTCCCTCCCCCTATAGAAAATAACTTCCATGAGGTTTTTATCTGTATGCAGCCATGCTTGCTGTGGACTGAATTGTGTCCCCTTCCTTCTCCTCTCCCCCTTAAAATTCATCTGCTGAAGCCCTAACCCCCAGTATTTGGGGATGGAGCCTTTGAGAGGTAATTAGGGTCAGATGAGGCCATGAGGGTACGACCCTCACAATGGGCTTCGCAGCTTTATAAGAAGAGGGAGAGAGGTCACTTTCTCTCCATCATATAAGGACACCGCAAGAAGGCTGCTGTATATAAGTCAAGAAGAGGGCCCTTGCCAGGAAATGCATCTGACTGTATATTCATCTAGAACGCCTAAGTCTCCAAAACTGTGAGAAATAATTGTAGTGAAACAACTGTTATTTAAGCCACCAGTCTATACTTTTTTTTTAAGAGACAAGCTTTTGGCTAGACTTGAACTTTTGAACTTCTGAACTTCTGGCCTCAAGCAATCCTTCTGCCCTAGTCTCCCATGTAGCTGGGATTGCAGGTATGCACCAACTCTCCCAGCTCATTGTGGTATTTTGTTATAGCAGTGCAAGTAGACTAATACAATGCTCACTCTGCTTAGAGTCCGTCCAAAAATTTTAAAAAGACATTGATTGTTTGCAATGGGCTAATTATTTCACATGCAATATGTTAAACATTAACAGCTCTATGGAGGAGAGTACTATTATCATGTTCCATTTTATAGATGAAGAGGCTGAGGTCTAAAGCTTAGGTGACTTGCCCAAGGCTCTGGAGCTACTGCGTGTCAGAGTTAGGCCTTGAACACCTGTGTTCACATGCCTACCCTGCAGGTAGCCTCCAGGGATTCAAGTGGGGGAACACACTGATTCTGACATTCATGGGGAACACCTTACTGACCTCAAGAGGTGAAGGGTGATCTCGCCTAGTGGCTACAGTATGGATAAGCAAAGTTTGGCCTCCAAGACAGAGATGAGCCATTTCTGTGGCAGGGGAGTGAGTTTGTATAGAAAATACCCAGAAAAAACAAAACAGCCCCCATTGGTTACGACAAGGCAAAACCTTTAATAACATGAGTGCTTATTACATTAGCTGCTTCAGGGCTCTGACATCTTTGATTTCTGGTCATGTTTTTCTAACACGGAAAGGTGAATGCCTTCCTCAGGGCCATCTGGTGGTTGGTTTCCTGAGGATCTGTGTGGGTAGACAGTGGGGACAGCTATGAACGCGCCTGATGGGGATTCAGAAATCCCCCTGGCCATCACCCGTGACTTTGAGTAAAGTCCTCTTCCATGGAGGGAAGAATGTGGAGGTCCTTCCAGTAAAAAAGGAAGAAAGGAAAACATCTGGCACAGATACACAGAGAGAGGAAATGACATTAAGGGATTGGCTTGAAAAGTTAGAGAGGAATGGAGGGGTTAGGGTTTGGAGGGTGAGGGGCAGATGTGGGAGAGGGCTGAGTCCATTTGGTTTCATTCTTTGTAAAAAGTAATACCATCACGAGGACCATGCCATGCAACCTCAGAGACATCTCTGTACACTTCCCCCAAGGCTGTGCTGGGCGTGGGGCAGAGGTCAGAGGTCAGTTCAGACGGGCGTGGTGCGCCTGTTGGCTGGATTGTTATGCAGCGACTCTTTGAACTCTTTGGGCGTGGAGTTGTGGAACTGTAGAAAAGCGTGGTCTCGGTCAGAGTTGAGAAGGGTCCCCATGGTGATCTTTGAGGGGTCCCGGGAGAGGGTGAACATCGAGATGTCGGTGGAAGGGATGGTGTGGAAGCCTTTGCTGATGGGGGACAGGTCTCGGGATCTGGGCTCTGTGGAGCGAGAGCTGGACCGCCTCCGGAATCTATACCTGTAGGGTGGGAGGCGGGCAAAAGTGGATTTCTTCAGGAACTCCGAGTGGGATTTGGCACGTAACTGCTGATGTTTTTCAATATAGATGTGCACGGCAACCACGCCTACAATTTCCGCGATGATGAAAGAGAAGGCTCCGAAATAAAAGGACCAGCCATACGAGTAACTTTTTTTGGAATCACGCTGCCCGGGATCTCCAGCGTTGGCTGATATATAAACTATGATGCCGATGATGTTGCTTAACCCTAAGAGAAGGGAAAAGAAGAACACATCTTTTGTAAACCTCAGAGGGAACTGTCACTTTTTGTCTTGAAGTATTTATAGAAAATGTGGAGGTAACAGGAAGAGAGGAGAATGGATTATAGCTGGGAAATCCAGCCGCTGAGCTCTTCTCGCATGGTCTGTCTCTTGGGAAATGAGAAATCCTGCTGCTCAGTTCCAGGCAGTGCGTATGGAGCTAAGGAATACACCCCACTCCCACAGCAAAGTGCCGGAGAACTCTGAAAGCATTTATCTTCCCTTAGAAGGATTTCATTTCCATCAACGCTTAATCTTTGGCACTAAGTCACGAGGGTGGGAAAATAATCAAGACACAGGTTCCTGCCCTCAGACACTGTAGCATTAGTAGGAGAAACTGACATGTAAATGCAATTACAGCAAACTACAATCAGGGCTCTCCCAGAGCCACACAACATGGCTCAGGAGCACAGGGAGAAAGACTAAGCACATCGCAGGTAGGTTGAGGTGACATTCGAGCTGGATCGCGGAAATGGAATAGGGGTGAGCCGGGAAGATGAAAGACTGCCGGCGATGGAGTGTGAGAAGATAGATTGAGAATGACTTACCAGGGTTCTAGCTTGGATGATTGGGAGGCTGGTGGCATTTTAAGCTAACATAAGAGGCAGCAGAGATAGAGGTTAGGGGAAAAGGGGAGACTAAGATATAATGAGTTGGGGATGCTTATGGATAGTCCAAATGGAGCTGCCCAGTGGGCATACTTGGACCTGGAGCTGCAAGCTGGGAAACTAATAAACCCATAGGGAAGGGACACCACCAGGTCTTTTCATGTGCACGGGGTAAGACAATGTTTTAGAACAGCTGTTGTTTAAGCATAAGGAATTGGGGAATATGAAGCTGTTATCTCCCCAACAGGCAAGGCTTGCAAGCTCAGCTTCCCCCAAGTGCCAGTGAAATAGCCTTGGGAATAGGTTCTTAGCCCACTGGGAAGGAATTGATTCCCTAGGGTGTGGCAAGAAGAAACATTAGATTCGAGGGGCTATGGTTCTCACAGTATTGCTCCAAAGGGGGAAATGTCTCTTTTTGTCCCTTTGCTTCAAGGGCCTCATCCAGAGCTTGGTGCCAGCAATGACTCACGGAGGTTGGTACACCAGCTGGTGTCTCCTTGCCTCCAAATTTAGGCTACCTGTAGGGTGGTGCTAAACGGAGGCGGTCCCTCGTGATAGTTTCCAACACCAGTTGGTAACCATTTCCAGGAGCCTCTTGAGTCTTCTCTCCCTTCCTTGAATGTTCTGTACTCTTCCTGGGCATCCCTGGGATCTCCTCATGAACAACTAAGGGGTTAAAACTTGGTGGAGCAGGAACCTCAGGACACTGCTCCAGCGCCACCATTCTAATTGGCTAGTGCACAGGCATTTGAGTTACTCATAGTGTGGATATGACTTCCTATCCTACTCCATCTAAAACCCCTAGAGGCCAGGGCCAGAATCTGCTTCTCCCTCATCTCCTGGTGGCTTTAGCCAGTACAGGCATTCAGCAGGTAGGCAGTGAGTTCTCATCCCTGAGCTATTTCTTTATATGGGGGTTGACACATCCAGCTTTGTGTCAGGCTGCAAGAAACCACAGGATGAAAAACGGCTCCTCTTCCTGGAGTGTCAGTTTAGCTTGAAGATTAGTAGGGAAGACATATTCTTTTATATTAAAATGAACATGAAAATAATAAGGAGGAGAAAGCAGAATTCACATGAATTTTTAAGTTAAATGGGAGGCAGACTTCAAAGACATTTCAACTCAATGAAGGTGACTTCTAGCAATGCCCCCTGATCCTCAGGGCCATGTTTTCTCTCTCCTCTGCCAGCAGGGAAATTTTGGTGGCAAAGTAAAAAAAGAGAGGTTCAAAGAGGCTCAGATGTCAGACTAGGCTAAAGGGGGCAGGAACCCTGTGAGTTGCTAGGTATTCATAGGGTACTTACTATATGCCGGAACTGTACAAAATTTTTTTTTTTTGGTACAAAATCTTTATATGCACCATCTCAATTAATCATTGCAATGGGCCCATTTAACAAACCTTATCTCCCTGTTACAGATGAGGAAACTGAGACACAGTGAATATAAGTAACTTTCCTTGTCTATGTCAGACGCAGCTAGGAAATGGTTGAAATGGAATTTGAATCCAGAACTCTTAGCCACAGTGGATTTAGATTTCAGTCACAAGGTTTAAGAAGAACAAGATTAGGTGGACGTGGTAGTGCATGCCTGTAGTTCTAGCTACTTGGAAGGCTGAGGCGGAAGGATCGCCGGAGACCAGTGGGTCGAGGCTGCGGTGGCCGGAAGCGGCCACTGCACTCCAGTATGGGCGACAGAGTGAGACTCCAACTCAAAAAAAAAAAAAAGAAGAACAAAATGTGAGTGGGCAATCAGTGTCCCACCGGTAAGCTGCCTGAGGGCAGGGACTAGGCTTATCTTGTTTGTTGCTGTGCTGGAATTCCTAGCCCAGAGTCTGGCCCACAGCAAAAACACATTGCATTATTTGTTGAGTGAGTGAATGAATTAACAGAAGAATTAAATGGCACCATGTATTTAATAACAGTTGCCAGGCATTGAACACATACCAGATGACAGACACTGTTCTAGGCACTTTATGTATAGCATACCAACTCATGTCATTCTCTTAATAGCCTCAAAGGGTGGGGCCATTAATATCCTCATTTTTTCAGATGGGGAAAACAAGGCACAGAGAGGTTAAGTGACTAGCCCAAGCTCACTTAAGTGAGGAAGTAGTAGAGCCTAGATTTTTTTTTTTTTGAGTTGGAGTCTCACTCTATCGCATGGGCTGGAGTGCAGTGGCATGTTCACAGCCATCCCCAGGGTCAGCCTGCTGGGCTCAGGCGATCCTCCCACCTCAGCCTTCCAAACTACAGGTGTGTACTACCATGCCCAGCTAATTTTTGATGTATTGTATCTCCAAGTTCCCCGGGCTGGTCTTGAACCCGCGGACTCAGGTAATCGTCTCACCTTGGCCTCCCAAAGTGCTGGGATTACAGGCTTGAGTGCCTGTCTGAGAGCCTAGATTTTCAGCAGGCAGACTGGCTTCAGAGCTCAATTGTGAGACCATTATGAGATCATTATGCACACAACCTGCACATAGTAGGTGCCCAATAATTGATTGCTTGCCCCAAACCACAAACCTTAGTATAGTTGAGCAAAAAAGAGCCAGAGAGAGTGCTGAATCTTCTAACCCTTTCATTATAGAGGTGGAAAAACAGAACTTGTTTTTCCTTGTAGAGATGAGTGGAGGGGTCTAGGATAAGACCCTCAGGATTCTGGCTTCCTGTCAGGGCTTTCTCCACAGACCCACATGCTTTCTAGTTCCCATGTAGTTAATCTACCTGCCATCCCTCACTATACTTCTTGTGGGAAGAAAGTTGCTGGTGACACATTCTTCCCTAACAATCCCCTTGGGGGACAAAATAATGATCTTCTCTTGTTCTTGGAAAGCCCTCACATCAGCACAATGCTGGTACTGATCTTCCAGATCAGGCGAGCAGGGGAGGTCTGGATGGGACAGGAATATGCCTCAAAGAAAAACAAGTCCTGAGTTCTCCAGATGTTAACATCCATTCACACAAGAGCAAGGTTAGAGGCCACCACCACCTGTGGGCTGATTACATGCCTCTGGGACTTGAGTCAGTTTCCAGAGACTTAGAACTGGGTAGTCAGTCTTACTTCCTCATCTCACAGAAGGGAAAATAGAGGGGAAGGAAACTTGCTCAGGATGCTAAGCTCCAGACTTGGGAACTATATTACTGTTGCCTTTTCAATACTGCTAGAAAATGACACTGAGCTTTCAATGTTCAGTCGTCTTTCAACAACCCCATGCAGTTGGGACCATTATTATTTGCCATGTCACAGTCAAGGAAACCAAGTTACAGGGAGTTGGTCACATTTTCCAGGGCCCCATAGGGAGAGCCAGGATTCAAATCCAGGAGGGCAAACCTCTCTTACTCGCCAATTCATACTCTCCCTCACTGTTCCCAGCCTAATAAATATCCCGCCATTACTGTGCAAAGTCCGAAGAGTCAAGCACCATCGTCCCTCACCCCTGCCTCATTCTCTGCTTCACCAAAGCATTTCATCCTCGGGATTGATCTGCCTCCAGAGGGGTGGGAAAGAGGTAAAAGGAAGAGTGAAAACCCGGAGGAAAGAGAGAGAAATGAGGACCACAGAGGAGGAATGGAGATGAAGGGAGGAGAGAGAAGGCAGAGGATAGGACCCTTTTCTGAAGATTGCCTCTCATTCCCTTACCACCTGTGCCTTCTTCTGATCAGAGCTGCTACTGATTGGAAGGTCTACCCTGAGGACATCTTGGGCTGCTGGTCTTTACCTTGTTTGAGTACCTGAAAAACTGTGATCAGAGGACACGGCCACCTGTGGACTGATCACTCCCCCCCACCCCGGGAGGGGGCAAGATGGCAGCTTTCCCCTGGTCTGTTGCTTGTGGCAGTTTCCTGGCAAACACATTTCTCTCTTTCTTTCTTTTTTTTTTTTTTTTTTTAGTCAGGGTCTCACTCTGTTGCCCGGACTGGAGTGCAGTGGTATATCATGGCTCACTGCAGTCTTGACCTCCTGGGTTCAGGTGATCCTCCCACCTTAGCCTCCCAAGTAGCTGGCCTCCCAAGTAGCTGGGATTACAGGCACACACCACCACACCAGCTAATTTTGATTTTTTTTTTTTGTAGAGATGAGGCCTCTCCTGGGCTCAAGCGATTCTCTCACCTTGGCATCTCAAAGTGCTAGGATTACAGATGTGAGCCAACTGCGCCTGGCCTCAAACACATATCTCAAAGGGCCAGAGACAGAATATGAACATGCCCAGGTGAACAGAAAGGTAGAACCCCTGAAGTGCACTGAATCAGTCTCAGTTTATACAAAACACAGATGCAAGCAGCTAGCACATGTGTACACTCACTTGTTAATTAGTTTCTTTCCCTCTCTTTCTCTCTCTTCTCTCTCTCTCTCTCTCTCTCTCTCTCTCTCTCTCTCCCCCCACTCCTCCCCTTCAACTGGGTCTGTTACCCTGTCTCCTCTATGTCTTTCCTTCCTGCCACCCTTAGCTAGAGTTTCAGCATCTTTGGTTCTAATGAATTTTTTTGCATTCTCATCATTAGCGCAACTCAAACATATTCTTGATCTATTTCCAGAGGGATCCCTGAATAGCATTGCTTCCTCCAAGTGGCCCTGGTTTTAATGGTTTGGTGTCTGTGAAAATCTCGGGGCCGGGGCCAGACACTCACCTGCAGAGACAAAAAAGATGCCCGCGCTGAGAATGACATTGTGTCTGCTGCGGTGGAATTCGCTGGCTGCCACACAGAGCCCTCCAAAGAACAGCAGCGTGACGCTGAGGATGGGGAAGACACTGGAGGCCCTCACAGCCCCTGCGGAGAGAAGAGAGTGGTTTCTGCCTGCATGCCAGCCCCAGCCAGGTTCACCCATGTGGGCGTGGGGTTGCCTGAGGGGAAGACAGCACAGAAGGAGAGCAGAGCCCACGTCTACCATGGGCGTGAGACCAACGCAGTCGTTCCTGGATCTGTGCTTGGAAAGAGGCTCAGAACTTGGGTTAATGATCTGCAGTCACCATCCTGAGAATCTTAACACGATTCTTGTTGAATGTGTGTTTTGGAAGTGAGTCCTGATGGGACGATTGTTCATGTGCTGGAGGTTTGGTGCCTTGACTCACTTGGGATGCCACTATCCACCACCCATTCACCCCTACCTCCCACCTGTCACTCTCCCACCTCCCTCCCTCTCTGGGACCGGCTCTCCCCCACCTCAGCTCGAGACTACTGCCAGCCTTTGCCTCTGGTGGGGTCCTGGAGATGAACACAGGAAAAAATCTGGGTTGGGTACAAGCTCCAGGTCCCTGGGAAGTTTTGCACCCACCTAAGAGAGTGTCCCTACACTCAAGGGAGTATGACATTACACAAGTTAAAAACACCATGAGGCTAGGTGTGGCAGCCCACACATGTAATCCCAGCACTTTGGGAGGCTAAGACAGGAGGATCGCTTGAGACCAGGAGTTTGACATCAGCCTAAGCAAATAGCAAGACCTCATCACTTAAAAAAAAATCAAAAATTTAGCTGGGCATGGTGGTATATGGTTGTAGTCCCAGTTACTTGGGAGGCTGAGGTGGAAGGATGGCCTGAGCTCAGGAGGTGCACTCCAGCCTGGGTGACAGAGTGACTCCGACTCAAAAAAAACCAAAAAAACAAAAAACAACCACCATGACAGGCCAAGAAAGAGAGATCACAGATTTTTGCCTTGATTTTGAACCAGGACCCCAGGATTTTATTTATTTTATTTTATTTTTGAGTTGGAGTCTCACTCCTTCATCCAGGCTGGAGTGCAGTGGCACGCATGCTCACGGCTACCCTATCCTCGAACTTCTGGGCTCCAGCGATCCTTCCTCCTCAGTCTTTCAAGTAGCCAGAACTACAGACACGCGCTACCACTCCCAGCTATTTTTTATTATTTATTGTCTCTACAACGAGGTCTCGCCAAGTTGCCCGGACTGGTCTCAGGCAATCCACCTGCCTTGGCCTCCCAGAGTGCTGGGGTTACAGGCTGAGCCACCGAGCCCAGCCTGACCCCAGGATTTTAATTTTTTCACTGGGCTTTGCCAATAATGTAGCCAGTCCTGTATACAGGGACTCCTCTCAGACCATACCCCCCTCATCAAAATGCAGACTCTTTCCCAGCACATACCTGCATTTGCATAGTACAGAGTCTAGCAACACTCATTTAATAATCATTTAGTCTTGGAATGAAAAAATGAATTTGTTTATTCAGTCAACAGATATTTATTGAGCACCTACTAGATACTAAGTGCTATGCTGAGTATCCAGGACTCTGCTCCATCTTCTCTGGCCCTGCCTATTTTGAAGGGCCAGAGAAAATGGAGCAGAGTCCTGGAGGTCTCCATGTCAACTCCGTAGTTTCCAGATTGTGGAGAGGCCCGGAGGTTCTGGGAGAGGGTCCTATGGTGGGGGTCTCAGTATCTACTCAATCAGCATGAGAATATTTACTGGTAGGAAATTCATGCTTGTAATTCCAGCACTTTAGGAGACTGAGGCAGGAGGATTGCTTGAGTCTAGGAGTTTGAGACCACCCCAGGCAACATAGAGAGAACTCATCACTACAAAATTGTTTTTAAAAAAATTAGCTGGGTGTGGTGGTATGCACCTATAGTCCCAGTTCCTTATGAGGCTGAGGCAGATGAATTGCCTGAGCCTAAGAAGTCGAGCTGCAGTGAGACATAATCGTGCCACTGCACTCCAGGCGGGGTGACAGAGTGAGACTCCACCTGAAAAAAAAAAAAAAAAAAGGAGTCCTTTCTGATAGGTCCAGGCCAGAATATATCGCTGAATAAATCCTGTGCTTGTTAGGATTCAAAATAGCCAGGGCTCTGTCCTCATGGGACTTATACTCCAGTAGAGACAACAGGCAGGGTCAGCTACATTTTTTGCAGGGCCTTGTACCAAATGAAAATGCGAGTCTTCTTGCTCCAGAATTGTCGGTGGCTCAGCCTGTAATCCCGCGCCTTGGGAGGCTGAGGTGAGTGGATTGCCTGAGCCCGCGGGTTCGAGACCCGCCTAGGCAACTTGGTGAGACCTCATCTCTACAATAAAACAAAAAATTAGCCGGGCATGGTAGTGTGCGCCTGTAGTTTCAGCTACTTGGAAGGCTGAGGTGGAAGGATCACCGGAGCCCAGCAGGTCGAGGCTGCGGTGGCCAGGAGTGGCCACTGCACTCCAGTCTGGACGACAGAGACTCCAACTCCAAAAAAAAAAAAAAAAAAGAATTTCAAGATGGTGAGGCAGAGCACTGAACCAAGAGCAGGGTCCTTTTGTGAGGGGGCCAGGTGACAGATAGTACTGCAAGAAGCCAGGTGAGAGCTCATTATGGCCAGGATGAGGATGGTAGACTGGAGGTGGTGAGACATAGCTGGATTCAGGGTGTACTGTGTATTTTATTATTTAATTTTTATTTTTGAGCTGGGGGTCTCATTCTGTTGCCCAGGCTGGAGCGCAGTGGCATGGATCACGGACACTGTAGCCTTGATTTCCTGGGTTCAGGCAATCCTTTCACCTTGACTTCCTGAGTAGCTGGGACTACAGGTGCCCACCATGACTGACACTTAGCTAATTTTTTGTAGACACGAGGTCATTGCCTAGGTTGGTCTCAAACTTCTGGGATCAAGTGATCCTCCCGCTTCGGCATCCCAAAGTGTTGGGATACAAGCATGAGTGTCTGGCCTATATTTTAAAGGTAAAACCAAGAGAATTTGCTGATGGACTGACTGTGAGCTGTGTTAGCTCTTAGGTGCTGAGTGAATGAATGGTGGGGCCTTCCCTGACCAAGGGCAGGTGCAGGAGGAGCAGCGTGGGTTGGGGTGGGATGGGGAGCGCTGAGAGTTCACTTCGGCCACGAGGGGTTCAAAGTTTAGCTTATATTACTCAGCGTTCAAGACTTTAACACCCACATTCACTGGGTGTTTTCCTGCCGGTTTAGCCCCAGCCATTTCCATTTGCTTGTTTGTGTTTTCAGTTTTCTGAAAATTTGATAACAGATTTAACCCACAAGGATGGCAAGGAGGGATGAGCTGGGAGACCTAGGGTGAGGGGCTGAGGGCACATGGGGTGAGGATCTCTTCAAGAAGAGACAATGAAAGGGTCCTTGCTTTGGTTTCAAGGTGGCCAACCCAAATCACCCAATGTGGGAATCTGGGCAGTCCAAGGCCACAAATAGCCGTGTCCCTCATACCCCTCTGCTGTCATGGCAAAGTTTCGGGAGGGGTTTCAAACTGCTTAGAAATCCTGCTGGGAGATCCAGGTAAGGGGTAGGGGATACTGGCTCCCTGGGGGCTTGATTAGATTGTGTCCTAGACAGCTTCTGGCCTGTCCCTGCTGTTGCAGAACTTTGCTCCCAAGCAGGCTTGTAGAAGGCAGGATTCACTCCTGTGGTTCCTTTAACCCCCAGGTTGAGGGAGCCATTCCAGGGAGTGGTCTCTGGGGTCCTGGGAATAGGTATAGCTTATTTATAGTGGCCCCTGCTGTGGGTGCCACTATAAATAAGCTATATACTTATTTATACTTTAAAAAAATCTGTTGCCAGGTTTGGTGGCTCACACCAGTAGTCCCACCCCTTTGGGAGGCAGAGATGAGAGGATTACTTGAGCCCAGGAGTTCAAGACCAGCCTGGACAACATAATGAGATCTTGTCTCTACAAAAAAAACTTTTAAAAATTAGCCAGGCACTGTGGCCTACACACCTGCAGTCCCAACTATTCGGGAGGTTGAGGCAGAAGGATCATCTGAGTCCAAGAGGTCCAGGCTTTAGTGAGCTATGATCATGCCACTGTATTCCAGCATGGGAGACAGAATGAAACTTTTAAAAAATCTTTTTTTTTGTCAGGGCCCCCACAAATGTTAGGGGTGGGTCTATCACTAGCAGTTTTGGGAACCCGTTTAGGATTTGTGAACTAACCTTTAAAGGGATCATTTGCATTGTGTACTGATGGGAATTGCTTGAATATTCAGTGTAGTGACCGTAATTAATAAAAAGAGAATACCTTTAAAAAAATAATCAAAGGATGATTAACCTTTGAAGTGTGCCCGAAGGAAATGATCTGAATACTTGAAGCTATTGAATTGTGTTGGTTATAAAAGCGGGTATTTGAAACATGTGGATTTGAGATGTACCAATGTGGCTGTTTCCCAAGTGGTGCTGTAACCATTTGGCAACCCACCAGTGGCCAGACCCCACTCTTGCCCCACAAGTGCAATGTAAGCCAAGTCTATCAGTTCTGGCTATAGGTGTCTGCCTACGACAGGACATTTTTGGCTTCCATTTTCTCCTGAGTGTTCACCCTAGAATTGTTTTTGCCACCAGTGGACACATGGTAGCTACAGAACAAAAAGGTTTTACTGTTTTCCTTTTCCATTTCTCCTCTTCAAATGATGTGGGGTTAAGCTGGGGTTTTACAGGTGGAGAGGGGAGCTTGTTCGAGTGTAATTCCACCATCAGTGTCTGAGTAGGACTTTGCGTGTACAATGGTGTGTTACAGGAATCTCTAGTTACCAGAGACTATTCAACCTTCTGCTATAAGTTTCAGCTGTATCCTACCCCAAAGAGCACATAAGAGAGAGGAAACAGCAGAAAAGTCTATACAGCCTAGGTATGATGGCTCACGCCTGTAATTCCAGCACTTTGGGAGGCCAAGGTGGGAGGATTGCTTAAATCCAAGAATTCAAGACCAGTCTGGGTAATATAGTGAGACCTCATCTCTAAGAAAAAAAAATTACCAGGGTGGTGTGTCCCTGTGATCCCAGCTACTCAGGGGGCTGAGGTGGGAGGAGGCCTGAGCCCAGGAGTTAGAGGCTTTGGTGAGCTGTGATCATGCCACTGCACTCCAGCTTGGGTGACAGAGTGAGACTCCAGCTCAAAAAGAAAAGTCAATATGCAGAATCCCAGTCCCACCAAGCTTGGGGGTCACGACTGGAATTGGCAGTGCAAATACTGACCAGGTACGGAGATCCCTACAGGGAATGTGTCCCGGGCCCTACAGGGCTGGGTCAGGGATTGATTCCAAAATCCTCAGCAGGAAATCTGTGTGCTTGTCCAGGCCCCTTCTTAACCTTAGCCTGCTCTATTGCAGTTGGTGAGGCTTAGGTGGAGTGTGGGATGGGGGTGAAAGAAGAGGAAGAAACAGAGAACCCCAATCCCAGAGGGGAGAAAAATACATTGTCAGAAAAGCAGTTGACCTCTCTGAAGAGCTTGAACTCAGCTTTGCAGGTTGTGAAATAGAAGTTGCAGTTCTGTTTAGTCTCCAAAGGGGCAAACATCAAAATGTTTTTCACGTGGGAAAGAAAAAGAGAAACTGCGAGCATTCCAATAAAACCCCACTAGTGATAACTATAAAGCCGTTCTCTTTTGAGGAGGTCCAAGTCATCTGTGTCATCCCCCAAAGCTACCTTTGAAAGTATGGCTTTTCCTGCCCACCCCCATCTTTTGGAGCTACTCATATGAGGGGTGAGGAAAAAAAAAACAAACAGAATTTTATCTGAGGGATGCAACTCCTTTTGATGATCAGGCCCAGAGAGACACTAAAATGAGACCACAATCACGTCCTTTGAGCTATGTATTCCTCTCTTGAAACTGCTTGCTGTTGCCAAAAGTAGTTATAAATTAACCTAATTATGCCGCACCAGACACTATAACCTACACCCTATAGCTTAATAATGTATAGCCAATCACTAATCAACGTTATTTCTGAAAACTAATGAGAATTCTTGGCAAACAACATTGTATCTGCCCACTCCCTGTCCTCTTTTTTTTTTTTCTTTAAAAATCCACTTGTAACTGCGCTAATTGGAGTTTATATTCAGGGCAACTTGAAGCTATGTTCCCAGGTTGCAATCTTCAAGGTTGGATCAAATAAACACTGTACTTATATTAATTTAGCCTCAGCTTCTTTCTTTTAGGTCAACAGGGTTTTGAATAAATCTAGTGGATGGATTAGGACCAAAAAGAGATAAACGATATGTTTATATTTATAAAAAAAAATTTTTGGTAGAGACAGAGTCTTGCTATGTTGCCCAGGCTGATCTCAAACTCCTGGGCTCAAGCAATCCTGCCTCAGCCTCCCAATGTACTGGGATTACAAACATGAGACACCACGCCCACCCTGTTTATATTTAAAACATTAACCTAGAAACAATTGCTTCTTTTACACTGACCTCCATACCAGTTATACTGTCAATGACAAAGAGTTTATCTGAAGACTACAGGCATGATTAAAGCTAAAAATGATTTAATTTAATTTATTTGTTTATTTTTGAGTTGGAGTCTCACTCTGTCGCCCAGACTGGTGTGCAGTGGCCGCTCCTGGCCACCGCAGCCTCGACCTGCTGGGTTCCGGCGATCCTTCCGCCTCAGCCTTCCGAGTAGCCGGAATTACAGGCATGCACTACCACACCCGGCTGATTTTTTGATTTATTGTAGGGATGAGGTCTCGCTGCCCAGGCGGGTCTCGAACCCGCGGGCTCAGGCAATCCACTCACCTCAGCCTCCCAAAGGCACCGAGCCCGGCTCTAAAAATGATTTTAAATTTACAAACACTTCTCCAGCTCTGAGTTTCAAACATGATCTGAATGGGACAAGTTCTTGGAGTTTTATTTATCACAATAGCAGTTAATACAAAACATCTTATGTTTAACACTCCTGATTAGCAAATTAGTCAATGCCTTTGCATTTTTCTTTCGAGTGAGCTTGACACAATGTTCTTGTTAAAGAAGTTGCATTTAAATTCCAAACCAAGTTCTCTCTGTGCTGGGACCCATGAGAGGCCCAGGCCTGCAGCGGAACTTTGCTATTGCTAATCCCATGCAACACACGAGCTAACACATATTGCCTCATGGTGACATGTGGGGCCCGGGGCTAAGTGTAATGGGCTTATTTAATTTTCATGACCCTGTCAGATAGATGACATTATCATCTCCATTTCAGGACAGATGAAGAAAGCTAAGAGATGGAGAGGTAAAGCAACTTGCCCTGGTTCAACCCAGTAGGGAGGGAGTCAAGCCAGGGTCAGATTCCAGAGCCCGTGCTCAAAGCCACCACACTCTACTGCTCCCACATGCCGTAGCTACGACAGTCCATGCTATATACAGATTACTGACCTTGGACAAATCCTACAAAGACTCTGTCCCTGACCCAGTAGGATTGAAACTGATGGGAAGTCAAAGGAGAGTTGAACTTTGGTTTGTATTTATTCTCCCAAGCCTTGCCCCTTGGGATTTTGCCCATTAGCACCTCACCTCACCCATTAGCACTCTGCCCATTATCACCTCAAATCAGCCCTCTGGGGAAGGTGAAAACTTGTATTCAGGTTGGAGAAAATTCTCTAGATTTTTCTCCCAAGCAGACTAAAAAAGAACCTCTCAGTTTTGACTCACTCATTTTTTTTTCTTTCAACTTCTATTTCATTGACACTAAAGAGACTTAGATACTCCTTTGCACTCACTCATCTCCAGGCTGGGCTCTGAGGAACCTCAGGCTCAGATGCAGCTGGGTGATGGCAGGGGCCTTCCCCTTTTCCTGTCTCCCAGGGGAGACCTGAGATGCAGGGGAAACTTACGCAGGAGATATTCCGCTGTGTCCTGTTCGTAGTCAGCATCTTCAGGGAAGTGGTCAATTTTCTTGCACACGCCTCGGAAAGCTCCTGTGGAAAGACACACGGTCCTGAGCCAGGGGTGAGCAGGAGAGACAGAGCCCCTGGGGCCCAGTCTGGGTCCTCACCCCCACAGTACAGAGCCCCTTCCCTGGCTGTTGGGGGTTGTGCATAGCAGGACCAAAAGCATCTTTCTTGAGGGAACAAAAAAGTGACCAGTAGAGGCAACAAAAGAAGATGGGAATCGGCTGCTTCTTAGATTTTGCATGATGCTGGGATCCATTTAGAAGGGCACAAAACTACAAACATAAGCACTCTTCTCTTTGCTTTCCCCACCCCCAATTAGTGAAGGGAAAAGCAGGTGAATTTAAGTACATCTATTTATCTTCCCATTTTACCAATGAGGAAACTGGACTTGGGAATTTTGCTTATAATCATCAGCTAAGTAGTAGAACCAAAATCTGAATCCAGGCATTCCAGAAGAGTCCACGCTCCCCAGCAACACTCATGTCTGACCACCGGACCCTCCCCATCCCTCTCCGTCCTCACCAAGGATCACAGCTCACTTGTCCCTGGCAGTGTGGCTCACATCCTAAGGAGTCACAGAACTGTCAAACACGCTCCTTTGGAGCAACTGTCTGCATATCTTCCTTTTCTTTCTTCAGCATAAACTTGACTTAACTCATTGTGGATGTTTGATCACAGTTGTGGATGTTAGTTAACTAGCCACTTAACCAGTCTCAGGGCGTTGATGGCTCTTCCAGTTCTTATACATGACAAACAAGTTTTAGGACTTCTCACCACAACACAGGATGAAATGATGCTTTCTTGTCCCTGTCCCTGTCAGCTGCAAGCCCGCATGGAGGGGAGGGGCAGTGGAAATGTTCAGAATCAGACAGAGCTGGGTTTGGGTTTTAGAATGAAATCGGGTCATACGTGAACATGAGATATTTGCAAAGCTCGAGGCACATTATAGTAATGGCTGACACAAGTGCTTCCAGTGGGCCAGGTACCTAGATGAACCCTTAACATTTCTTATCTCATTTACTCTTGTTGACTACCCTGGTAGAGGATATTCATAATGACACTGGATGATGAAGCAATGGAGGATCACAGAGAAGATGAAGGTGTCACAGCTGGTGAGTGGCAGAATCGATCTTTGAACCCAAGTTCCAAAGTTTGTGGTTGAAAGTGAATGATAGGCTGGGCTCGGTGGCTCAGCTTGTAATTCTAACATTTTGGGAGGCCGAGGCGAGTAGATTGCCTGAGCCCATGGGTTCGAGACCAGCCCAGGAAACTTGGCGAGATCTTGTCTCTTAAAAAAAAAAAAAGAAAGAAACTGAATGGTAGCCATTATTCTTATGTTTACCATCATAATGTCTATTATTATCTCATAACAATAAGACTGCCATATGTTTAATTCCTACTACAGGACGTCTCCAAGCCGGGGGGCATTTCATAATAAATGTGATTTATTTAATTATTAATTAATTCATAAATGTTCTTTGGTTCTGATTCTCGTTTACCAGGCAAAGAATAGACTTAGAACCAAGAAGGGGTTTTAGGAAAGAAGACCCAAGGAAATTCTTAGAAGACAGACCTATAGCTTCTTCACTGGTCTTGAAATAAAGCCTTATTTATTCTTGTTCAGTTTTTAGAGCTTCATTCACATGAAGCTGTTTTAAATCCCCACCCTCTTCCAGATGAATGGATAATATAGTAAGTAACACACATGTGTACCTGTTATATATCAGATGCATTCTACATGTCTTATCTTCTTTTGCTCTCAAAATAGCCTTATGATGAGCCTGATGTTATGATTCCTATTTTACAGATGAGACAACTCTGTAAAATGAGGCTTAGCAAAGTCAATGATTTATCCAAGGACAGAGCTAGGAAATAGTATAGTCAATCACAGGTCTGGGGGACCCCAAAGTCAAAGCTCCTAACAACTGTTACGAATTACACTTTTCAACAAGTTTGTAAGCTAAGTCCTTTGCCCAGTGAGTTTATGATTGTTTTGTGGTCCGTGCCCTACTATTATCTGTGGTAATAAACTGGACCAGTGGTTTCCCAACAACTTTGTTTTCTCCATGATATATATCTGGGGCCATTGGGCAACGTGAGGGTGTGGGTAGGGGTACCACTTCATTGTTAGCTGCTTTACACACTGCATGAAAGATTTAGTAGGAAGAAAATTTCAGGTGGAAACAGACCCATCAAAATCAGGGACTTGGCTGGGCTTGGTGGCTCAGCCTGTAATCCCGCGCTTTGGGAGGCCGAGGTGAGTGGATTGCCTCAGTCCACGGGTTCGAGACCCACCTGGCAACTTGGCGAGACCTCATCTCTACAATAAATCAAAAAAATTAGCTGGACGTGGTAACGCCCGCCTGTAGTTCCAGCTACTTGGAAGGCTGAGGCGGAAGGATCACCGGAGCCCAGCAAGTCAAGGCTGCGGTGGCTGGGAGCGGCCACTGCACTCCAGTCTGGGCAACAGAGTGAGATTCCAACTCAAAAAAAAAAAAAAAAAAATCAGGGAATTAGGAACTACACGCATGCCCGCATCTGTTTGTGACATGGGCAAAGCGACTTAAGGCAGTTTGAAACTGGCATTTTGAACCAGCAAATACCAGTAGCTCCTGGGGACACAGTGACCAGTTTTTAATAGTCTATAGTAGTAGCCCACTGCCCTTTTGTATAACCCATAAGCTAAGAATGACTTTTGCATAGTTAGGTGGTTGGGGAAAAAAATCATAAGAATAATATTATTTTGACATGCAAACAAATATGTGAAATTCAAATTTCAGCAATTGTAAACAAAGTTTTACTGAAGCACAGTCATGTGCATTTGTTTGCACAGATGCAAGGGTGACTTTCATGCCGCTATGTCAGACTTGAGTATTTGCAGCTGGGAGAGCAAAGTTGAACATATTTACTCTCTGGCTCTTTAAAAAATATTGCTGATCCCTGGCCTAAAGTTTTCTGTCCTGGGAGGGTAAAAGTAGAAAGCAAAGGGGAATTTGGGCCTTCCTGGGATGGAAGATATACCTCAGGTTGGTGTTTCTAAAGCAGATGATATTGGGCTTCTTGGGCAAATCTGGTTAAGACTGTTTTGGTTTTGATTTTTTTTCCTTTTGAGTTGGAGTCTCAATCTGTTGCCCAGGCTGGAGTGCAATGGCATGATCAAGGCTCACCACAGCCTTGATCTCCTGGGCTCAGGTGATCCTTCCACCTCTGCCTCCCTAGCAGCTGGGACTACAGGTGTGCACCACCATACCTGGCTAATTTTTTCATTTTTTGTGGAGAGGAGGTCTTGTGCTGCTGCCTAGGCTGGTCTGGAACTCCTGGGCTCAAGTCATTCTACTGCCTCAGCCTCCCAAAGTACTGGGGTTATAGGCATGAGATACCGTGTCCAGCCTGTTTTGTGATTTTGTGTGTTTGTTTTGTTAATTTGTTACTCATTTTATTTTTAAAATTAAATGTATTCCTGCAATTTAAAATTAAAGGATATTTCAAAGGAAGACCTGATCCGCAGTTTATCTTAAAAGATGGGGAGCTCTGTTCCACATTTCTGTGTAGCAGCAACCCCGGGTGTTGTAGCTGGAGATCAGCGACTCTATTTAGACTGGGTGTGAACTTACCATTTGGCCAAAGTCCCCACCTGACTGTATGTTGCTTGCCTGGCCCTGTAGACATTTGAGTTTGTAACCTCTGAACCAAAATGTATGTCTGCGGTGTCACATATATACAAGTCCTGACTCAGCTACCTATGAGATGTGGTTCCTATGGCAAATGACCTCTCCAAACCTCAGTTTCTTTTTCTGCAGAATGAAGGTAATAATAGTAGCTTCATGGGGTTACCATGAGAATTAATTGAAGCAGTAATAGTAGTTACTGTGCCAGTTGCTGTTCTCAGCATTTGACACATAAATCTTTTTTTTTTTGTTTTTTTTGAGTTCGAGTCTCACTCTGTCACCTGGGTTGGAGGGCAGTGGCACACTCATGGCCACCACAGCCTCGACCTGCAGGGCTCAGGCAACGGTCCAGCCTCAGCCTTCCAAGTAGCTGGAACTACAGGCACACACCACCATGCCCATCTAATTTTTTTTTTTTTTTTTAATTTACTGTAGAGACAAGGTCTCGCCAAGTTGTCCAGCTGGTCTCAAATCCCTGGGCTCAGGCAATCCTCTCACCTTGGCCTCCAAAGTGCTGGGATTATAGGCAAGAGCCATTGCGCCCGGCCTGATACATAAATTTTTTAATCAAGCAATGACATAAAACACTTAGCACAGTTCCTAGCACATAATAAGAATTCAATAAATTATAGCTATTATTACCATTGGTTTTGGTAGGTATTTTAGGACCACAAGAGACATACTGGTGCCATGGTGAGATTTTAAAAAGTGTTATAAAAAAGGAAAGGGAATCAAGAATTTCCCCAAGGAAGACTCCACACTGAAAATGAAGATGCTGACAGCCCAAGTCATCCTCTCATCTCAAAGTGAACTTGGACATTCACGTAAGTAGCATATTGCTAGCTCCCAGAAATAACTACTATTTAGCATATTTGTATATTTCCTTCCAGGCTTTTTTCTCTGTGCCTTCACACACAATTGGTTTTTCAAAATTGGGATCATGCTGTTCTTCTCACTTATATTTTCTTAGGAATAGTTTCCCATTTCAGTAAATCTAAGAAAAATAGGATGAGATTGGACTTGCCCATCAACTGCAGAGGATGGAACACAGGGAGATGTTGAAAACACAATCTAATCTAGAAACAAGCACTTAAAGCTGTCCCAGCAGAACTTTAAGCTAAGGCATCAGAGCGGAGAGAAGTAGAAACCAGGAATGAAGCACCAGGAAGAGGACCAACATTGGTTGGTCTGGGGGACAGATCTGGTGGCTACAGGTGAGAGGGGCTAGACCCCAGCACAGTGCCGGCATGAGAACTCACAAACCACAAGACCCAGGGAAGAGGTTTGGAATGGAAGATAGAACCAAGAGAGACTTCCTGAAGTGTTAAAGTACAGTTGCAGTCTGGTTTTCTGGTG